TCTAAGCCTCCCAGCGGTGAGCTGCGTCTGACCGAGTGGTTGGTGTTTCTCTACAGCAGTCCTCTCCTCTGAACGACTTCCTCCTGCACCGTTTCCTGTCTTCTCTCACACGTCCACCAGGGGTCGCTCTCTCACCTGCACATGTGTTACCTGCACTGAACTGTTTTTGTCTGTGATCACATGACATGAAAATAAACCTCTGCCTGCAGGACAAACTGGGTCTGTGAAACATGAAGTTTGTCTCTGATAAATAAAGAAGTTTATAGAATTTACAGAAGCTTCAGTTTCTCACAGAGGAAGCAGAAACTTCATCTTTAAACTAAAAGCTTCCATCAGTCACAGCCAAGTGTTCAGGTATCAAAGAGACTCGTTTATGCACTCTAACAAAGTTTTGTAATTTAATGCAGTCAGTTATAAAAGAATAAGAAAACTGTACTGAAAATAAAAACGTATAAAAAATATTTAGGGAATAATGAAACTGTCAGTAAATATGTCAAATTAAGGGAATATTTACGAGAAAAAATAAACCAATTATTGAAGGATTTTAATAAAAGCATGTTTGCAGAGTAAAACCATTTTCATTTTTAATAAAAAGGCTGTTTTTAAATGTAAACTTAAAAAAACGATGTTTGTAAACATTTCATTTATAATCCAGCAGAAAAAAATGTTCATTCAATTCTTTAGCTGAAGCTTTTATTTTGTAAAGCTGCCACCGGGAGTCGCTGTTTCCTTTCGTGTTGCTGTCTGCTGCTTCCCAGCATGCACTGCTGCACCGATACTGTACAACGTGACGTAAGACACACGCATGTCCGCGTGATTAGATAACATGTCAGGAACATGTCACGCCGTCAGACAGAGCGGCTCCTGAGGGAAAACCGAGCGCAGCCCGCGGGAAGACTTCCTGCTGCTGACACACCGGGTCACGTGTTCTCATAGAAACACGGAAACGGCCACGGAGCTCACGTGTGTCTGCAGAACATGCAGGTTTAACAGCACGTTTCTCACTGCGGCTTGGTTCAAATGCACGGAAGTGTAAAATCAGCCAAAAATTAAACGGAGTTTGGTGTAACAAATAATTCTAAATTACAGCCTGTAAAACTGAGGCTCTTGGGCACATAGTTAGATTTTCACTGATCTTTGGTCACAGCGAGGTGTGGAAAGGTCCAGCTGGAGTCTGGTGAGAGGACAGTGGAGTAAAAGCAGCTGCTGGTTAGTGTGTGTGCGGCTGAAGAATGAGATTACTGCAGATCACTGTGGAGTTTCCCCTCCACGCACATCTCACCCACTCTTAATACAGCGTAACATGGACGTGTGTGACTGCTGCTGAGTCACCGGTAAGAAACTGACATCAGGAAAATATCTGAGTGGACTAAGTGAAGGATTCTGTTCGTGTTTAAAATGAGCACAAATGTGAATGGAGTTTGGTTTGAGGAACGTACGAAAGCCAGGCTGCTTCGTGTTTTTGCTCCAAGCATTTACTGATTGTCAGCATCTCCTCAGATGAGCCGACGGTTTGAGACGGCTGCCAGGTGTAACAAAAGCAGCTGTTATTAGCTGTAAATACACACGTATATGAGTGGAGTCTGGTGCGTCAGTGAAGGAGCTTTAACCTCTGACTGAGCTCTGACTGAAGTTTGAAAAACACGTAACTGTAAAAGTGAACGTGTGAAAAACGGAACATTTTTGACTGGAGTCTGGTGGAGACTGCTTCCACACGAAAACATCATCACCATGCAGGTGTGGATATGAAGCATGTGCCTGCAGCTCAGTGTCACACATACAAACAAGTGTGCACCATCTCCGTTTGTGTTATTGTTTATTGCCTGACAACCTCTTCCTCCTGCCGTGGACCTCCTCCTCTTCCTCCTCCTGCTGTAAATCAGTGATCAGAGTGACCCGTTGTCACGGTGACGCACCACACAGCTGTAAACGTCTTATATAAGTACGCAGAGCACTTAAAGGAAGTGATGTGCGAGTCCATCTGAAACTGGGACACAGTGCTCGTCTTCGCCCGCTGGCTGCTCATTGGGCAGTGGGGATGCTGAGATCGAGATGCAGCTGGCCAATCAGAATCCAGAAAGTGGAACTTTGATTATGAGGCTGCAGTTCGACCTACTTTCTCCTCAGAGTGACTCACTTTCTCCTTCTTCTCCTGCTGTCCCACTGACTGCTGAAAGCTCAGAGCCAACAGGACACGAACCTCCAAAAACCCACCAATCACGATCAGCTTCACCTCACGCTGCTCAGACACGTGGGTGTCTGTTTGTCACAGTCTGCGGCTCTAAAATCAGTGAAAAAGTCAAAGGAGTCTGGTGAAGGAGAAAGCTGGCGCTGCTGTATTTACAGCCTATAGTTCATATGAAATATGATGTTTTCATTTGTTTTATTAAGTCATCAACGTGTCTCGTTTTTATATGAAACATTAAACATTTAACCTGAAATTACACATGAAAAATTTTTTTCTTCTCATACTTTACAGCTCACAGAGAGATAAATACGTGTGATGGTGAAGACACGATGTTAGATGTTGTATGTCAGTGACGGTAGTGCAAGGCACAAAAACGCCACCAGAGGGCAGACTGGAATATAACCCTAAACACCTTTATATTCCACTAATAAAGGTGAGCTGGGTGACGTAGACGAAGCTTCGTGTCTAAATAAACTAGAATAAACCCAACATGGAGGCACTGAGAGCTGCAGTTCCTGTGGTGCCCAGCAGAGGCAGCAGTGAGTCAGTCCCATAGACTTCCGTGTTAAAATAAACACGTTTGCAGCCTGACACACAAACCGCAACAACCGTACAGGGGAGGATGTGGTCATAACTGTTTAAAGTTTTCATTATTAGGGGCGTGGTCTCTTTGACTGACGGCCGGATGGGGATTTGGCGCTACTTAAATAAAACTGATTGTTCAGTTTTCAGATTTTTCCTGTAGTAAAATGAGTTTTTGTGACTGTTGGTCCCAACATCAGGAGCTGCTTTACAGACTCCTCCATTTTTATTTGGGGCGTGAAGAGAGCATCTGCTAATTGATGGCATCACCTTCAGCACATACAGCTGCTGCGGTACAATAACAGAGAGCTCGAATCAGGCTGCAGCTACACCACCCGCTCTACAGCTACACCACCCACTCTGCAGCTACACCACCCGCTCTACAGCTACATCACCCACTCTGCAGCTGCTGCAACTACAACCAGCAGCAGCTTGAGTCTGTGACATCAAACCCTGCATCTCCACCAGCCGCTGTAACTAACTGACTCCAGCTTCTCCTCCAATGTTGCTGCTCGCATCTGCACGGTTGGAAATATCGACGCGGGGCTTCCTGTCCTGAACCGACCAATCAGTGTCAGCAGCTGCTGGTGGGTAAAACGAGCTTCGCTGAGAGAAAACTGGAGGTCGTTTTACTTCAGCTCTGACTCGTCCAATCACAGTAACATCTTTATGATCAGTGCGAATATTATAAATTCAGGACGACTCATGTGTGCATATATTTATATATAATTTTTATATAACGTCTTTACAACATAAACCACAGATTAAAACAGAGATCTTCTTTCATCAGGCGCACTTCCTCGCTCGTACATACTTTAATAGTCACGATATCTGCACAGGCATATTCATATTAACCAAAAATAGTCGTGTACAACAGATCTCAGGGCAAACAGTTCAAGTATATCTGGATCTTTGTGTTCATGGCTATGTACAGTTTCTTTACATCAGCTGCACAAGGTTTGTCTGAGGCAGGTCACGCCCCGCCTCCTCCACCTCTGTAGTGGGTGGAGTCATAAGGGCGTTCCACAGTTTGGAAGTTCAGGATGAATCAGTTCGTACTGAAAGAGTTTCTGTTTCCTGCAGAGTGGAAGCGGACGCCGCCGCAGTCAGAGATCGCCGACCGCTGAAAATCGAAGCAGCTGATCCCAAAGTCCTTAAAATCATTAAAAGCTGCTGGATGCGTCCAGACGTTTGAAAGAGCTACTTTTAGTGTGCATCTGTTTTCAGCTGGGAAAACTTTCAAATTAAAAGCGTCTGAACGCATCATGAACGTTAACAAAGCTAAAATCAGACAGAATGATGACATCAACAGGAAGTGGAAGTGAAGCTGGACCAACAGGTTTCTTCTGTGTGAGCTCGTCAGTTAGCGTACTCGGCTGAAATGTGTCTGACCGTCCACGTCCTTCACGCTCCACAGACTTCCTGCTGGCGACGCTCCAGTGAAGTCAAAGAACTGGGCTGGCGAGGCTAAGCTAACGGTTCGGGCTTACACAGGTTAAAATAACGTGGTTTAAAAATGGCAGCCTGCTCCTTTAAAACATCAACCAGCTGTTTTAAAGCAGACTTTTATTTTGGCGGGGAGACGCATGTTTTGAAAAGTTCTGCTGATGACATCATCATCCCGCCAGTCCGATGCGGTCTGGATGACGCTGCGATGTTAAGGGCTGGAGAGCGTGGCGATGCGGTGACATCGCGGTGATGTCATCAAACGTCGATGCGGAAGGACAGCAGCTTCTCAGAGTGCATGTTGTTGAGCGTCCGCAGATCTGGCAACTTCAGCAGCAGTTTGGTGAAGCGTGGCGAGTCCACGTCGAGGTGCTCGCTCTCCGGGGCGACGGGCGACTTGTTGACCAACGAGCGAAGAGCGCGGATCAGGTTCTCCTGCAGCTGCTCCACCGACGCCACGTCTTCGATGCCGGAGCGGTCTGAAAGCACACGGAGAGGGCAGGTCAGCGAGCAACGGGCAACCACTACATCTGCAGCAACAGCTGCAACTAAACAGTTTAAAACTCTACATGTGCAACTTCGACACACAACAACAACCAAAAATGATTAAATAAGCAACTAAATACAAAACATCAACTACGGCAACAACATCTTCATACGCCGCTGCTACCGAAATCCCTGCAACCACGACGCTTCGCTAACAGCAACAGCTTGAACAAACGGTACCTTTTGCAACTACACCAAACATGGCACAACCTGCAACTCAACAAGTTGGTGCAACTACAGCAGCAACATCCCCAAAGTTGATTCTGTTCATCTGGAAGTTTTCAAACGTTACCTGATGAAAGAATCAACTTTAGCGACTTCCTTACCTGGATGATTGAACGTGCATCGAAAACAACAACAGCAGCTAAACCACACAAACTCGGGCGACACCTGAACTCGCCGTAGTTATGTGCTACAAACAGGAAGTAGATTTTCTATACTTCCTTCTTAAACTGTCAACACGTTGCTTAAATAACTGCGATACGTTTCAGCTAATCTACGGCGGCGGCGATCTTTGCTCACCTGCTGACACGAGCACCACGGCGGTGAAGAGTCCGAGCTCCTCGCTGTCCAGCTCCAGCGCCGCCAGCTTGTGGCTGAAGTCAAACATGGCTCCCAGCAGGTCCCTCATGCCCATCGCCCGCAGCTCCTGCAGGTTGTAGGTGGCGCCGGAGACGAACGTCACCGTCTGCTCCTTCATGTTAAACAGCGACGCAAAACGCACCATCAGCACCTGAGACAGGAAACAAGGACGGGCAATCAGTGAAAGCGCGACGATGTCACCGACACATTTAGGTTTCATCCAATCTCAGCCTGACACGAGTTTGATCAACCAACGAGGAGGCGTGTAACTACAGCAACATTACACCTGCAACTCCTGCTAACAGATCAACATCCTCTGCCTAGAACACACATCCAAACTCCTGCAACTAAACACAGCAACTTCAGCCAATGCACCGCCTATTACAACTGCAGCAACACGTTGACTCCTGCAGCTAAGCCAAATCCTGCAACAACAGCAACTATAGCAACCACTACGTTTACAGCAACACTTGCAACTAAACAACAAGCAACTAGCCCAAGGAGCTGGGAAAGAAAGCTTTCATGACGTGGATGACTGCAAATCTACACAGGAAACAAGCAACTGCAACACAAACTGCATCTGCAGCAACAAGTAAACATCACGCTGTAGCTCCAGGGACTACTGCAACATGTTCTGTACCTACAGACAATGCAGCATGCTCTGGCTCCTTAAGAGTCGCCCCTCGTGTTATGTAGTGTTATATAAGTTAATGCAATCTTTATTTGTTTCTGGCTCACTGTTCATTTTATTTTGACATCCTACCAGAAGTGCTATTTCTCATTACTTCCTGTCTAACGGGAGAAGGACCGTTTGCTTCAACAAAGCCCTGCGATGCATCCAGTCAAATAAATCTGCCAGAAAGGAACAGCGGTGTGGTTTTCCTACATGGGAAGATGGTTATCCGTCTGTGTAGTTAAGTGCGAGGGCAGCATACAGCAGAGACTGCGTCTCACAATGAAACATGATGCTGCAACTAAACATGGCAACTCACCAACTTAACAAGCAACTACTGCGACCGCTACGTCTCCATGAACAAATGCACCTCAGGAACGCTAGTGGGAGTTTTTAAACTCGCACTCTCGTGGACTCGAGAGTGAACTCAATGGTTTTTTCAAAGGTCAGAGGTCATTCCCCTAAAATGTGCTCTGATTGGATGACAGTGCTGTAACTGGCTGAGTGAGAAGACATGGTAAATATCTAGAGGGTGGGTGCAGCGCCCCCAGTTTGCCTAGTGGTCAGGTCAGGTACAGCATCTAAGGAATCTCAATCAACCAATCAGCACAAACCGAGTGACATCACAGGCTCACCTCAAAGGTGCCGGCCTTCAGCAGGGTCACCTGGTCGTTCTGGGACAGACCGCTGAATCCTGGGATATGTTTGGCGAACTCTACCACCTCCCTGACGGCGGGCGTGAAGGACAGCGAGAAGTCCTCCCATATCTGCTGCGGGGTCTTCGAGGGGTCGGCGTGAGGCTGCATGTTCATTGGACAAGCCTGCGGAGACAGGACAGCACCGTCAGCCAATCAGGTGACAGCTTGTAAACCCTCCCCCAGTGGAGGAGCTCTTACCAGCACGATCCCCGTCTGCTTCTTCACCGGACAGCGCTGCTCCTGGGTCACATGACCAGCGGGGCCGCTCTGCTGGCTCTGCCTCCCGTTGCTACGGTGAAGATGCGTGCGGCTGTTTTCCGGTAGGTAGCGCTCTGTGGCCAGGTTGTTATTGTGGTGGTAGATGGTGTTGAGGCCGTTGGCATGGTAACCGTTTGGGCAGCGGTTGGGCTGCCAGAGCTCCGCCTCCCTATTGTG